TATATATATATATAACAACCTAACAGACTTAAGATTCAGTCTCCAAATACTTTTATAGGTACTGTTCAATAAAGAAGCACAATGTTTTAGGTGACTGCAGGCTATTATTGTCTTTTTATCCACATGAAACTACTAGAGGGCGAGTACTGGGTGTCCATATTCAATGCCTTTACTGTCCTCACCAGTTTGGCGTAGCCTCTGTGGTCTAGTATCAGGTTCTCTGGTTTGAGGTCTCTGTATATGATGCCTTTAGAATGCAGGTAAGCGAACGCCTCCACCACACATGCCGTGTAAAAGCGCGTAGTTGAATCATCAAAGTTGCCCCTGTGATTAGGAAAGAAACAGGACTTTTGTGTTGTTGAAATTCAGACAGCAATTGAACGAAAACACATTGATCTAGAGTGAATTGACAGGTCTCACCTGTCTCTGAGAATAGTCCACAGTTCTCCACCTAAACACACTTCCATCAGCATATAGAGGTACTTACTGTCCTTAAATGTCCTATAGAGTCTAAGAAAACAAGAGGAAGACAGTCAAAATGCCATTCTACAGATTCGGGTTGATGTATATTTATGTTGTCACATTTCTGATGCCAAAGCAAAAAATACCTTGAAATGTACTTGAAATGTAACTTTTTTCCAGAAAAATCAATCTAATATATTTTTGTTCAATAATATTTTTTTATTATTATTTCGAATTTTGGGGAGATTTTATGATACTATGCTATTTATACATTTTTTATTACCTATTTTTGCCATTATATTGATATTTTTCATTCATTTTCTATGTCGGTACCAAGTGTTACTTTTTATTTTTCGACCCTCTACCATATCTGAATCATGTCCATGAATGTTTTTTATGTGTGTGTTCACATAGCTAATTCGACAAAAGTCACCAAGTGTCATCTCATTAATGTAGCAAAAAATGTAAAAAAAAAAATCGAAATGGAGGGAGGAAGATGGTGTCGTAGAGCGGACACTCATTTTGGCGAGCTCCCGTGACATTTCTTTTGAGCGTCCTTGAGCTTGGGAAAGGCGCTATATAAATTAAACATATACAGTGGGTACGGAAAGTATTCAGACCCCCTTAAATTTTTCACTCTTTGTTATATTGCAGCCATTTGCTAAAATCATTTAAGTTAATTTTTTTTCCTCATTAATGTACACACAGCACCCCATATTGACAGAAAAACACAGAATTGTTGACATCTTTGCAGATTTATTAAAAAAGAAAAACTGAAAAATGCTCAGTATTTAGTAGAAGCACCCTTTTAATCTAATACAGCCATGAGTCTTTTTGGGAAAGATCCAACAAGTTTTTCACACCTGGATTTGGGAATCCTCTGCCATTCCTCCTTGCAGATCCTCTCCAGTTCTATCAGGTTGGATGGTAAACGTTGGTGGACAGCCATTTTTAGGTCTCTCCAGAGATGCTCAATTGGGTTTAAGTCAAGGCTCTGGCTGGGCCATTCAAGAACAGTCACAGAGTCGTTGTGAAGCCACTCCTTCGTTATTTTAGCTGTGTGCTTAGGGTCATTGTCTTGTTGGAAGGTAAACCTTAGTTCCAGTCTGAGGTCCTGAGCACTCTGGAGAAGGTTTTCGCCCAGGATATCCCTGTACTTGGCCGCATTCATCTTTCCCTCGATTGCAACCAGTCGTCCTGTCCCTGCAGCTGAAAAACACCCCCACAGCATGATGCTGCCACCACCATGCTTCACTGTTGGGACTGTATTGGACAGGTGCCTGGTTTTCTCCACACATACCGCTTAGAATTAAGGCCAAAAAGTTCTATCTTGGTCTCATCAGACCAGAGAATCTTATTTCTCACCATCTTGGAGTCCTTCAGGTGTTTTTTTAGCAAACTCCATGCGGGCTTTCATGTGTCTTGAACTGAGGAGAGGCTTCCGTCGGGCCACTCTGCCATAAAGCCCCGACTGGTGGAGGGCTGCAGTGATGGTTGACTTTCTACAACTTTCTCCCATCTCCCGACTGCATCTCTGGAGCTCAGCCACAGTGATCTTTGGGTTCTTCTTTACCTCTCTCACCAAGGCTCTTCTCCCCCGATAGCTCAGTTTGGCCAGACGGCCAGCTCTAGGAAGGGTTCTGGTCATCCCAAACGTCTTCCATTTAAGGATTATGGAGGCCACCGTGCTCTTAGGAACCTTAAGTGCAGCAGAAATTTTTTTGTAACCTTGACCAGATCTGTGCCTTGCCACAATTCTGTCTCTGAGCTCTTCAGGCAATTCCTTTGACCTCATGATTCTCATTTGCTCTGACATGCACTGTGAGCTGTAAGGTCTTATATAGACAGGTGTGTGGCTTTCCTAATCAAGTCCAATCAGTATAATCAAACACAGCTGGACTCAAATGAAGGTGTAGAACCATCTCAAGGATGATCAGAACAAATGGACAGCACCTGAGTTAAATATATGAGTGTCACAGCAAAGGGTCTGAATACTTAAGACCATGTGATATTTCAGTTTTTCTTTTTTAATAAATCTGCAAAAATGTCAACAAATCTGTGTTTTTCTGTCAATATGGGGTGCTATGTGTACATTAATGAGGAAAAAAAATTAACTTAAATGATTTTAACAAATGGCTGCAATAATAACAAAGAGTGAAAAATTTAAGGGGGTCTGAATACTTTCCGTACCCACTGTAACCTCTAAATATGGTGGTTTTTTTCTGGCGGTATTTTGTGATTTATGGAGCGATTAAAAGAGAGATCCCCTCAGTAAAATATATATTTTCACTCAGTGAAATCATTCTACTTGGTTGGAGGGTTACTGTGCCATGTCTTTAGATCAATATTTTTTAAAAGGATCTGACAGAATGCCCAAAGCTAAGAAGATTGCGCCGAAAAATTCTACTATCAGCGGCGTCGAGCAGGATGTTAATATGGACGACGCGAGCGTGAATAGTCGTGAGGAGGAAAGCTCCAACTCCAACTTTGCTCAAGCTTTGGACAAATTAACCCGAAAACATTACGAAGGTAATAGATGAGAAAGTGAATACTGTCCTATCCGCGATAAACGATCAGACAGTTCAGTTCCAGGCCTTGGTCGAGCGAGTGGGCGAGGCGGAGGAGCGGATCGCCGGTGTGGAAAATTCGACCGAATGCCTGCAAGCTACGGTGAAAAAAAGTGAGCCAAATGTCAGCGCATATCGAAGGCCTTGGTCGAGGGAGTGGGCGAGGCGGAGGAGCGGATCGCCGGTGTGGAAAATTCGACCGAATGCCTGCAAGCTACGGTGAAAAAAAGTGAGCCAAATGTCAGCGCATATCGACGATCTGGAGAATCGCGGGTGCAGGTGTAATTTGTGTCTATTTGGGTTGGCAGAGGGAACCGAAGGCAGTGATCCGGTGCGTTTCTTTGAAAAGTGGCTGCCCGATTACTTGAAGATTACAACGAAAGCAGGGCGGATCAAGATTGATCGTGCTCATCGCTCTTTGGCACCTTTGCCAGGACCTGCGCAACGACCCAGACCGGTCATCATAAAGTTCCATTACTTTACGGACAAGCAGTGAGTGTTGAACGCAGCTCGTCATGTTGGCACGGATTCCGAGAGGAGCACTGACGCAGAACCGAGGATTTCATTCTTCAACGATTATTCTGCGATGGTGATAAAGAAACGCAAAGCTTTCGACGATGTAAAAAAACGACTGCAGAAGATGAAGATCGAATATGCCCTGCTGTATCCTGCAACTCTATGGCTGACCATCAACGGGACAGGCGCGTTTCCATTACCCTTCAAATTGCGCAAATTGAAATTGCGAATTGAAAATACGCCTAATGGAAACGCGTCAATTTCGCAAAAACTCCCATATATCGCAAAAAAGTTTTTACGCTCGCATGAGGTGGTTTTTCGGGCAATGCGAAAAAGGAATAATTCGCAAAACTGCAATGGAAACGGCTTTTTCGCATTTACAGGTCACATGGCGTATGTAAAAAGTCATATGATCATTCTTCAATGTACTATAACCTCCAAGAAACACTTCATAAGTGGCCGCGCTCCAGTATAAGGGGCTTTCCCTACCATTAATGCTTAGACAATTTACACTGCACACGTCTGCGGTGCAGTGTGGCTCTGATACGGTCACTGAATCTGACTGCGGCCACTCAGTGCTTGTGTTTATATTTTTATACAGTCTATGGTTTATTCCAGCCGCGACACGCACGTTTCTGAAGCGGCTCTCTTTGCTTCAGTGGTTTACAGATAGGACATATACATAATAAGATTGCACTGTATGCTGATGATGTATTGCTTTTTTTATCTGAGCCTGAGAAGCCAGTTCCCGCTCTAATTGAGCTGATTGACTGGTTCAGTACCTTTTCTGGTTATGAAGTTAATTTAACTAAATCTGAAGCTATGCCTTTAGGTACTCTTATTTCTAAACCTAACATTGTGCCCTCTTTTCCATTTAAGTGGTCACCTCTAGGTTTCGTCTATTTGGGTATTTCTATCTCTACATTTTTGAAGCTGATGTATGAATCTAATTTTGTTCCTTTATTTGAGAAAATACGGCAGGATTTAGAACGTTGGAATTCCTTGCCAGTGTCTTTGCTGGGTCGGATAGCATTTGTAAAGATGATTGTGTTACCCAAATTGTTATATCCTATTCGAATGGTTCCGATACGGTTTTCAAATAGGGCATTAAAGGGCCTGAATAGCTGGATGACTTCTTTTATATGGAGTAAACGCAAACCTAGATTAAAATTATCAGTACTTTATCTGCCAAGTTCTATGGGGGGGATGGATTTTCCAAATATTAAGATGTATCAGTTAAGTTCCCACCTGAGATACATTGCAGAGTGGGTTAGGAATGATTCTTCCTCTACTTGGTTAGATATTGAATCCTCCTTTTCACAATTTCCTTTAAGAGCTCTTCTTTTTGTTAAGAGCTTTCAAAACATAAAAGAGATATATGATAATCCAATTATAGTTAATACTCTGAAAGCATGGAGATCAGTCTGTAGGCTTGAAGGTAGATCTAAATTGACTTCTTTCTTTACCCCAATATTAAACAATCCTGATTTCACCCCAGGAATTTTGGATGATGGGTTTAAACGTTGGTGTAATTTGGGACTTATTAGGCTTGGGGATATGTTTTCAGATAATAAATTAATGTCATTTGTGGAGTTAACTCAGAAGTACCAGTTGTTCAAACACGATTTTTTTCGATTCCTCCAATTGAGACATTATATTACTAATAACACAACACTTGTTAGAAATTGTGAGATATCTTCTATTGAGAGGTTATTATTTTTATCATCGGGAAAAATGTCTATGGGTAGATTTTATGGTGCTATATGTTCAATTTCTTCTGCTGATACACAGACAATTCAAACTAAATGGGAGGAACAGTTAGCTACTTATATTGATGATGAAACATGGGATGACATTTGGTCTTATGCTAAGAGAATATCTGTTTGTGCACGTACAAGAGAAATACAATTTAAAATCATATATAGACTCCATATTTTTCCTAACCACAGGCATTTTTTTTAACCACTCTCTATCGCCTGTGTGTTCAAAATGTAAAACTGAAGTAGGTACTTTAACACATTGTCTGTGGACTGCAAAGGTATTGGTTTTTGGTGCTGGGGGAAATGGAAAAGATCTTTAATATGCAGTTGGATTTTGACCCAGTCTCATTGGAATTGGGTATACCTAATAAATGCATTGTTTCATCTGCTAACTAGACTTGTGCCGGTATTCGGTAATGCGATATATCACGGTAATGAATATGCACGACAATATCGTAGGCACTTCTAAATACCGCAAATAATTATATATTACAAATTATTCCGAATTTTGAATGCATTTTAAGAATACTTTTCCCATAAACTGGTCAAAATGCACAACACCGCTGTATGCTGCGTGAAAGACGCGTGCGCACTCTGATGTAAACAAGCGCGGACGAGAAGCACATGGCGGAACATGTGAGAGACGCTCTGGATGAAAGCGCACTTTCACTCTCTGACAGCAGATGGCGCTAAACTGCAGAAATAATAATAATAATAATAATAATAATAATAATAATAATAATAATAATAATAATAATAATAATAATTCATTTAAATGCAGCCGTTACCCCGGAAACCCTGTAAACAAAGCAGCTGCACTACTTTCTGTTTCTGAATTGTGTTTAAATGATTTAAACAGCCATTCAGATTTGTGTATTTGCTATGATGTTCATCACAGCGCTCACAGCGCCAATATTTAGACTTAATAGGCTATTTATTTTCAAACTTTTTTTACATTTTAATCTGGACTATCTGGACTACTAGATATTGTTCGAAAGTGTTTTGATTCTTTATTGTTCGGTCACACTTTACATTAGGGCTTCATTAGTTAACATTAGTTAATTCATTAGTTAACATAAACTGCCAATGAAAAATTCTTCTGAACATTCATTAATCTTAGGTAATTACAATATTTAATAACACGTTGTTAAAATCGAAAGTTGCAACTGTGTTAACTAACATGAACTAAGACTTGTATTTTTAAAACAAAGATTAATAACTTCTGTAGCAAATGTAGATATTGCTCATTGTGAATATTAATGCATTAACTAAGGTTAACTAATGAGGTCTTATTGTAAAGTGATACCTATTGGTCTTTATAGTTCTTTTGCACTTTAATCTGTGTAAAACTTTTAACTTTATACATTTTTCTGTATTGCTTTATTGCATTTAAATGTTCAGTTATTTTTGTTATAAGAAAAAAGTTATTAAACCTGTTATACTGTATTATGACAGCACTTTTTAAAACTAAATTTCAACATCGTGATAATACCGAATACCGTGATAAAAGCATGAGCAATTAATCGCAACATGAAAATCTGATACCGGCATATCCCTAAACAGAAGTAGTGACAGTTATTTTCTTTCACATGGTGATATACATCTGAGTGTAACAGATTACTGAACAATAAAAAAAACAAAGTGGTTGGTTCTATATATCAGTTGTTAACTGAATTTTGAGATGTTAGTGTTGCACCCAAAAATGAATGAGAACTTCTAGTCGACTGTGGATGGCTGGAGTTAAAAATATTTTTATTACAGAAATAAAAGTGTTTCTTCGTGAGAATGTTATTTTCTTTTATGATAAGATTACTGGTTACACTTTATTTTTCAGAATGTGTACTTACTAGGACTGTCAAAATGGCAGAAAAACTAAATTTGAATTTTTTTTAATTAAATATTATCAATATTCAAATTATATTCGAACTTACATAATTTCAGTAAGGGGGAAAAAAAGCTTTTGGCTTCTCTCCTGAGGCCACAAGAGGGCGCATCGAGCAAAATATTATGCACGTTTCTTCAAAGCATAATAAAATAACACGACTATCTTTGAAAAAAGTGCATAATGTTTAAAATAATGTTTATATAAAGTTGCTTAAACGATTAGAAACAAAACAGCATCATGCATGTATGTATAGTTTAAATATTTAGACTTAATTAATAGGCTATTTTTTGATTTTTTTTACATTTTAATCTGGACTACAACATGCCCTAGATATTGTTTGAAAGTGTTTTGATTCTTTATTGTTCGGTCACACTTTACATTAGGGCTTCATTAGTTAACATTAGCTTTTGCTCATTGTGAATGTTAATGCATTAACTAAGGTTAACTAATGATACTTATTGTAAAGTGATACCTATTGGTCTTTATAGTTCTTTTGCACTTTAATCTGTGTAAAACTTTTAACTTTATACATTTTTCTGTATTGCTTTATTGCATTTAAATGTTCAGTTATTTTTGTTATAAGTTATTAATAATGTTATACTGTATTATGACAGCACTTTTTCTGGACTCCATATCTGGAGTATATGGAACCTCATCTTCCCCCTATTATACTACAAGGAATATTGTAACTGTCTGGACATTTAACTTTTCTGCCCTATTCATTTTTTTCCCTCTTTCCCTAATCTGTTATATATGGGGTAGTCCTGTTTTGTTTAATAATCTGAGCTGTTTTTTTTTTTTTGGTTTGTTTCTTTTGGGCGATGTCTTGTTATTTTTGTATTACAGTGAAAATTCAATAAAAATATTTATTAAAAAAAAATACAATTAGAAATGTAAAAAGTGACCAAAGAGACCCATAGGGACCAAATGGACTGTTATCAATAACTAAAATTAAACCATAAAAAAAAAAAAAAACCATTTTATTTCAGCTAGTTACCAAGTCAAAATTCCTAATTTTTGTTTTGAAGTTGAAGTACTGAAATAACTAAAATAAACTAAAACTACAAACTAAATAGAATAAAAACTCAACAAAATTACTTAAACTCTAACATGCAAACTATAAAAATGTAAAATATAAAAATAAAATCTAATTCAAAATATAACAAAAACTACAACAAAATATCACTGACACTAAACTAATACTGGATATAAATCACTGAAGTGTAATGTAGCAGTAGGTGCAGGTCACTGGAGGTACCTGACTATAAAGTCTGAATGTGCCTCCTGCATGATCAGTTTCTCCGAGCGGATGTGCTCCTGCTGTCTCGTGTCCACAATGTGGCGCTTCTTTAGGATCTTCATCGCAAATGTCTTCATCTCATCGCTCTTGAGCTGCACCTGAGAACAAAACAAGGGGAGTTAAAACTATTACTTCAACTTTTTATTTGTCACACACACAATTATATCTGAATGAAGGACTATAATATTATTAACTATAATTGAAATACACAATATAATCAAAAATCCACGATGACATCATAATTTGGAGAAAAATGCACACTTTTATATAATAAAACATAATGCACTGAAAGCATGATGTTCTGTGTTACCAGCTCAACACGGCCAAATCCTCCAACGCCAAGAGTGTCGATGATGTTGAAGTCCGACAGGTTTAAGTTGGAGAAGAATGCGTTCTCTGCCTCGTATCTGCATTTCAACAAGCAGAAGAAAAGTGGATTAGAAGAAAAGTGAATGGAAGAAAAATTTTAGTTATTCCCTCTGTCTGTCTAGTGGGGCAACCCAAATATTGATAAGCAAATCAAAACTCAAATCTCGTGTAATTTTCATCACCCTTTGTCTAGATCACAGCACTGCACAAGCAAGATATATTCTGAAACGTCATAAGGTGCATTCTGGGATGCTTTTTAAACAGTATTGAATAGTAACTAAACAGGATTATTTACATATGTGCTGGGTGGTTGCTTTTCCTTCACTAGCCAAAAGGGCAAGGCAAACGTACCTCATTGAGTCTAAATTTTACTATTTATTTATTTACTGTCTGTTATGTATAACCCCAAAAAAAAAGGGAATACATTTTTTTAGAAATTTGGGAAACAATTATGGGTTACTTTTTGTTGTTATAATATAATATTTTATATTGAATGCAACCAACAGGGTTTTGGCTGTGAAGATCAAGGAGTTTGCATCAGTTCACCTTCATAAAAATAGTTTTGTTCACCACTGATATTTGCAATCATACAGATGATTTATTAGAGGTCAGAATAGCATAAGGATTCTGTAACATTGCAAATAAAATGCTGCTGGATGTCTGTTTGCAGACTGTCCTGTGACCTGTGATGGTCATATTTTCCTCCAGTCAGAGTGCTTATACGAGCCCATGATGCAGAACTGGCCAATCAAATCCTTTCACTTGAGCCATGGCCAATGACACGATTGAGCTGCTGTTTAGCTTGGCAAAAACCGCTTTGCAGTGTCACACAGAGGTTACGATTTTCCATGCACACTGTCAAGGGTACTAAAAACCAGCACACATACACAAAGCGTGCTTTAGATATTATTCAATCCTTTTTACATAATCAGTTATTAGGCTGGCAGGGTCAGAGATGTGCAGCGCTGGCATGTTCTGCAATGCACAAACAAGAGTGCAGTTTTGGAAAGAGGCATGGATACAAGCTAAAACTCTTGCTAAGACTATAAACAGAAGAAATTCATTCTTCAGCTGCAAGCTGGAGATGTTTAATGTCTCACACCAGCTGCACGTAAAATAATATATTTAAAATTTGATAAATATTTTAATAAATTTGGATTGCACAAGGTGACTTTTTAATCCAGCTTTCAGTCCTTTCAGCCATCTGAAAACATCCCCTGCATTCAAATGCATGTTGCATGTCTTAAGTCAATCAACCAGAGCATAATTGAGATTAAAACTCTCAAGGAGGAAACAGGCATGTGTATGTGTGACCATCAGGGAGAAAAAAAAGTGAAATTCGTAACACTGGTGCTAGCCTCCAGCCTTCTTTGTACTCATGCATGCTGATAAAAAGGTCTGGCACCTAGCAACACTGACATGAATTTCACATTTCTGTTGGACAATTTACTGATATTTTATGCCTGCGGAATCAACAAAATCAGTTTTAAAACTGCTTTGATTAAAATATTAACCTGGAAGGCACTGCTGATTAAGCACATGTGATGCTCCAGGGTCATGGTTTCTCATTTGATTGACCACAAGGTGGCAACATGGAACTTCATAGGTTCTTTATGGACCGCATCTAGTGTATTTTGCAATGCCTTGATTTCCATTGTATGTGCATTACTGCAACTAAAAGTGTTTTTTTTTTTTTTTTAAATGGAAGGATCAGTAAAAATTATTTGTACTATGATTAATAATAATACAAAATTAAATTAATATAATATTTAAATTATATTAATAAAATAAAATGTTAAATAAGTAAAATATTTTTTTTCATAATTATTTGTAAAAGTAAACTAACAAATATTTTTATAAATTTGGTGATATTTTGTCTTTTGTATTTGCAATGGCTTGATATCAATTGTACATGCATTACTGCGCATTTATATATATGACCCTGGACTAGAGGTCTACACGGAGGACCCGAGACCCGAGGACCCGATCCGATCCGTACAGGTTCGGGGATATATTTTAAATGGTCAGCCGGGTCCGGGTCGGGTCCCAATCTATTACTTCGGGTCGTCGATTCCGGGTAGTACATTTTTGACATTTCTCGGTTCTGCACGGGCCCGGGTTCAACTTTCAAAATAATAGACGGGTCCGGGTCGGTTCAGTGTAGCACATTTACGGGTCTCTTCGGGTTCGGGTACAAATTTTTGGACCCGTGTAGACCTCTACCCTGGACCACAAAACCAGTCATAAGGGTACATTTTTTGAAATTTAAATGTTTTTTTATTTGAATTGCATGAATAAATTAGCTGAATAAATCCATAGATGTAGGACAATAATTGGCTGAGATACAACTATTTGAAAATCTGGAATCCGATGGTGCAAACAAAATAAAATATTGAGAAAATCCGCCTTTAAAGTTGTCCAAATGAAGTTCTTAACAATGCATATTAATAATCAAAAATTAAGTTTTGATATATTTACGGTATAGGAAATTTACAAAATATCTTCATGGAACATGATCTTTACTTAATAGCCTAATGATTTTTGGCATAAAAGAAAAATCGATAATTTTGACCCATACAATGTATTGTTGGCTATTTCTACATATACACCTGTGCGACTTATGACTGGTTTTGTGGTATATATACACACATACACACACACACACACTGCATATATATTTTAATATGAAGCCAAGAGGAATGTTCAAAACTTGATAACAGTCAATATTTTTGCATTTCTGTTTGGTGCTCCTAGTGATGCAGAAATGACACCTTAAGTACAGGAGAGCTGCACACACTCGTCTCATTAGAGTGTTCTCTATCTGTCAGCATGGCAGCTGGAGATTTATTTACAGGTTTGTAGTTTGGATCACGGGGGACGCAGTGCAGGAGGTGACAGCTGTAGATGTGTCTTAATAAGCTTTAATCTATGACAGTCACACAGGCTACAGACACCTCTTCATTATTCATCAGAGCTCATTTACATTGCAGATGAGCAGATAAGAGGAAAAGTTTCTATTTCGGTTCAGATATGACACAGAAGGGATTTTTGAAGTGGGAACTGAGTTTCTGAACTATCCCAGAATCCCTCTTTCTCTCTCTCTCAGTGAAATGTGATAAGGTTTCACATTTCTCTGAGCGGATTATTTTCTCATCGCCGCACAATGATTGCATCGCTTTCTCATCATGTTTCTTCAGATCATGAACAGTTGCTGGTTCTTATATAACATGTCTTCTGCATGCTAGCACAGCCTTTTCTGCTTTACAGCTCTAGAGTTACAGTAAACATCCTTGAGCTGCCCTTTGACAACTGCATTGTAATTGTTGCCATTGTTGCTAGACTAGTTTGCATTTTACTAGTACCAACCTAATCAGACATAGGCTACCGTTGACAAGTTTGGGGTCAGTAAGATTTATTTATTCATTATTTCTTTTATTCATTATTAAGGATGCATTCAATTGATGAAAAGTGACAGGAAAGACATTTATAATGTTACAAAAGATTTATATTTTGAATAAATGCTGTTCTTTTGAACTGTCTATTCAAAGAATCCTAAAAAAATGTATCAAGGTTTCTACAAAAATATTAAGCAGCACAGCTGTTTTCAACACTGCTAATAATAAGAAAATGTTTCTTCTGCATCATATCTTCATATGAGAATGGTTTCTGAAGAATCATGTGACACTGAAGACTGAAGTAACGATGCTGAAAATTCAGCTTTGCATCACAGAAATACTTTACATTTTAAAATATATTAAGATTGAAAACATCACTTGAATAATTAAATTGTATTTTAAAGTTATTTTAAAACTGTTTTTGCCTTGATGAGGATAAGAGACTTCTTTCAAAAACCCTAAAATATCTTACTGACCACAATCTTTTGAATGGTAGCATAACCCTGTGTTCAACAACATCTGGTCTCAAACAAAACTCAACTGAACAAAAAACAAAACTGAATATCTTTCAGAAACGTAATGCCTTGAACAAACGGGCAAATACAGTGACTACCATAACTGTAACAACTTGGAAGCCTGTAAATATGACTTTGTTTCTCATCACTTACCAACTGATAAACCCAGTTCGCATTTAGAAATTGTAAAAAAGCCAACAGATTATTGGAGCAATTTTTCTGTGCAAATATGCATCACTAACTCAACTAACATACTGTCCACAATACTTTTGATAGTGTTATGTCATATCATAAAAAGAGAAATTTTCCTTGTGGTGACGAAGTGATAATGAAAAAATATTATAAATGCATCTGGGGGAAGAAAACATAATAATAACATGTCTTCAGAGATGATTTCACTTACTTTGCGTTTGCCTCTGCGTCTTCACTGCCTTTGTTGGACACATCTTCGAGACCTCCAATCAGGTGTTTGTATGAGCTAAAAAAAATGGCATAAACAGCATATTCAGAAAGATTTAATCTTAATTACAAATACACTACTGTTCAGGAAATCAGCAATACTGTGAAATATTACTACAATTTAAAATAACTGTTTTCAAAATATAAATATATATATATATATACACACACACACACACATATATAATCTGCCTTAAAACTGATGACAATTTCATTAGAGACACGTCTAACGTGAGAACGTATCAGCACAAAACTGCCATTTATCTTTCGAGAATGAACTCATGTAAAGTTGAAGATCTATCCCTCAAATGACTCTTAATTATTATTTCATGTCTCTTTCTTAAATTAGAAAGTCAGTACTACTGTATAGTGAAACTTTTATATCTAAATGAAATACTTCAGATTGAAATGTACCATAATCAGCAGTCACACAGATGGCTGATGGTTTGAGTCTCAGTCAGACAGGAAAGAGAGTTTTCCCCGCCGGAGGGCACATATGCGCTTCTCTCTCTCTCTCTGTCTGTCTCACTCTTTCCAGCTTATTGACACACGTGACACTTTAGCTATTTAGGTTGAGCTTGATTTATTGAGTTCTATAAGGGAGCAGATAAGCACTTCAAACCCACAGATTCTGTGTTCCACACACACACACACACACACACACACACAAATAGAAAGACCAGTGTAAAATCCACTGATGTTCAATGAACTGTAAAACCTGGACTGAATTACTTCTGCTGGAATGTCAATGACACTTGTGATGTTTTAAGCAGCGTATACAAAGAAACTCTTGCCACAGGATATACGTAACATATACTCACTCTCTGTCAATCACAAGGCAGGTGACAGACTCTGCTGCGATGACATTAGCTGTTCTGATATCCTCCCTGTTCAAAAAACACAGATGCAGTACAGAGAAAAAATCATGTTAGAACGTTCTGATACATTCAAAATATACACATAAACATATAAGACTGTTAATTAGGATAATAAAAATATTAAAATAATTTACATATTATCAATTAAAATAATTACAAAGATATTATAAATGTAAATATATTAGTTTAAAAATTACAACTACAGTAAAATATTGTAATAATTTTGAATATTTAATTAAAATTCTAATACTATTAAAACAATTATAATTATAAATAAATATATGTTAATATGAATTCAAATATTAAAGCTATTAAAAGGAATTATAAGTATCCTAAATATAATTACAAATGTACAATACTATTAAAATTATACATAAATATTAAAATTTATATTTGTAGTAATAAAACAACACAGAAAATTAAAACAAAAATAAATAAAAATGAAAAAAAAAATGTATAAACACATACACACATATAAAGAGAAATATAACTTTATAATCAATTGTGTATGCACAATTCATATTAGTTCACAAAATTAAAATTAATTTTGACTTAAAATCATGAGTCAAATAAGTTACTAAAATAGTTATTAAAATATCAAAATGATCAGTTTCAGCTCAAAGAATTAAGTCAGCGTGCCTCAGATTTTGCTGATTGTCCTCTTCCTCACTGTCGCCCCAGTCGCAGTCATCAGAGTCTGAATCCCACTCTGACCTCATGATGCTTTGTGTTTTCACTTACCGTCTGACCTGAGTGCTGCTATACGCATGCATATACTACTACAGTACACTACACTTCTATTTACACTAAAACAATCACTATGTGACATCTGTCCCATCATTGGCAGTTCTGTCCGGAGGAAGAGCTCTCACACACGAATCTCTGAAAGCAAAAAGGACTGGACACTAAACGGTAAACACACACCTAAACACACATGCACGCGCAGCGTCTGCTCCTGTGTCCAACTGCAAATACTGCCGAACACCACACACACACACACACCGGATTCATTTCCAGCAAAACACACTTGTACTTGCAGAGGTGAGAATTCTTCACAACACATCGGCTCTAAAGCTGTCACAGCACAAATACACAATAACGCTACTGCAAAGGTCACAGCTGCTGCACAATATTACTGAAGGAGAGGAGGAAAATCTGTCATCATTTACTCACTTTCAATGATATTCTAAACCCATATAAATTTAATTCTTCCTTGAAACACAAAATATATTTTTGCAGAATGCTAAAATAGCTTTTTTCCTTAAAACAGCTACACAAAAGGACAAAAACTACCTTTATATACGGAATGCTTGTACAGTGCTTTTTTTTGCTTGTTATGGAGCCAAACTGTCCTGATCCCTATTCATGTTCAATGTGTTTTTTTTTTTTTGTATTGTATTTTTGTATTTTATGATGGTGTTAAATTTGTCAGTTTTTTTTTATTTAGTCTGGGTCCTGTGTGAAATGTCTGTTTTAGTCTTGACATGTTTAGTCAACCAGTGCTGTTTTTGTTTAGTTTTATTTGACTAAAGGTCTGGGAATTTTAGCCTAGTTTTAGTCTAAGAAAACTATTAGACATGCTGCACAATTGTTAAACAGATAATCACAATTATTTTGCTCAATTACTATCGTAATTACCGATCATGATTGTTGTCATCTGAGAAATTTTATCAGAATTATTATCACTTTCACCTATAAGCACAAATAAATAAACTCTTATACACAACTCTTATACACTTATTTGACCTAATTTAGTTTCCTAAATATCTATATTTTCTTAAATAAAAAGAGAAAAAAACATATAGACGTTCATCAAGTTTTTATATTGGGGTTGCCAGTCAAGAAAAAAATTGCCATCAAAACTTTCTCTGTGACAAACTGTAATAAATCCTAACATTGATCTCAATTATATATTGTTTGCGGTTGCACTTTATTGTTGCTGAATAAATGCAGTTATACAACCTCTATGCTGCAACACAAAGTCTTTTTTGTTGTTTTAATGGAAAAACATAAATATAATTTGGAATCAATGGATTTAATATGAAGAATTTCATTGTTTTAGCTTTTGCTTTGAGTTTTACCAGTTTTCATAATGCATTTATATGATAATTTTGGATATAGAGAGTTTTTACATTTTAAACTACATTTTAGTCTCATCTTTTTTCATCATGGTATTGCATCCTGATATAGTCACAGTAAGTCTTAGTCATGGAAAATAGGTTGTCAACAAATATTTTTCATCATAGTTTTTCATCATAGTTTTTATGAAAAGTCATATGGGTTTGGAATGTCATGAGAGTATAAATAATGACAGAATTTTCATTTTTGGGTGAACTATCCCAGGAGTGTGGGTCAGTGTGCTGTAAGTGGGACACTTTCACCAGCTTGAGGAAACACAGCATGAAAAACCGACACCATCAGCGCTGCCAAACGTATCTGTGAACCAATCAGGTGTCAAATGCTTCAGAATGCACATAGACACACGCATGAATTTAATCCCAGGATCAAGAGATTCTTTTATCAAGTTCTGGACACTGTTAATGATCTCCGTAAAGCGTGAGCTCTTACAGGACAGCATTTAATTGATCTCTGAGGAATCGGACTGATCGCGTACAATGTTCTGGCCTATATTTCACCTCCGATCACAACCTTGCAGCTCGCATCAGAAGACTGCCGAGCAGGTCACCTGATACACAACGGAGCATATCAACATGCTCTCAGGATCACTGTTTCCTAGTAACACAACCAAATGCAGGATTATAATCAGGGTAAACAGTCCCCTTAAACCAGACACCACTACAGAAAAAGAATAAAATACAACAGAATAAAGCACACTTAAATAGAACAAAACAGAATAGAATATAGCACGATGAACCTGAAGAAAATAGAATAGAAATGAATAGAATTAAAGGGATTGTTCACCCAAAAATGAAAATTAAGTCATTATTAAGTTACCCTGTTGATGTTCAAATGCCATTAATTTTTTTTAGACCACAAAAAGATCAATTTAAAAACAAAATTTCCTGTTCATGCTCGTCCATATAATGGGAGTGTGACAAGTAGGGATGGGTACCGAAACCCGGTATTTAATCGGTCCCGGGGCTAAATTATGAAAGACCGGAGTATCGATAAGCTCTGACGTTAACGGTTCTGCTATCGGTACTGGAGAAATTAATAAAACACACATACATTTATTATTCACTTATGGGTTAAGTTTTTGGGTGGGGGGAAATGTATTGAAATTTTTTTGTTGTTCATTTATTATTTTCATGACTATTGTTTGTTTTTCATTTTCTTTTTTTAATGTTTATTTGTTCAAATGTAAGTTTTATATGTTTGTATTTAAAAAAGTGTAATTACAAGTGACTGCTAAAATTTCTAATAATAAAAATATTTAAACCATGAGTAGTAATACCGTTAAAACCTTAACGATACCCATCCCTAGTGACAAGCAACCAGCTTCAAACTTTTAAGGGAAAAAAATGCAAAATACTGTAATGTACCACAGAATGATCCCACATGACTTGTGCCTCAATTTTCAAGTGTGATGCCCTCATAATGTGATGCCCTCATAATGAAAACGAATTATTATTTACTATTATTTAACGAAAATCCTGACCTTGGTCGTTGGTCTGCTGTGAATGACTGCATGCGTTCATCAGACCGTACTACAGCAGCAGTTCAGAAGCACACAAGTGCAAGAGAAATCAAATCTATCAAGTGATAAAACTAAAAAGTGCAGTGCAGCCTAGAAAGTGTACAAAAGTATACAAGTATACTTTTTTCTTTGAGGTGAATATCTCTTGTCAGATATAAATTCAAGAACCCGCTTTGGTCAAAGTATAGGTGCCCTATTTCGTATTATGTTTCATTAACTAGTGATCACTCTGTGATACTATTGCTTTTTCACATATTTTGTACGGACGAGCATGAGCTGGACATTTTTTTCCATGAGCCGGGACTCAAACTCGGGATGCCCGAAGTGCAAGAATTTGTTTAATATAACTCCTGAATAAACTTGTTTTTACTCAGTCATAAGAGAGAATGAGCGAACAGTGCTTTTAAAGATTGTGCGAATGTAATGTCATGTGTTTGCTATGCAAGCGCAGCCACTCTAAACAGTTTATGATTCCAAAACGTATTACAATTCCAAGAGCGCTTTTATAAGCAGCCACAAGATGGCACCACATCCTTTAAAAACTAATATCTCACAAAAACCTGCCCAGGTCACTTTTCACCACATGATCAAAATACATTTTTTCATGTTGTTATTATTATTATAACATTTTCAATGAGGAATTTACATTCCCATAATGCATTAAGATTTTTTCATAATTCTCAAAAGTGATTATTATCTAATTCTTATTAATGTCATTTAATACTATAAATATTTTTCTCATTAAAAGTAGCAAGAATGAGATTTTCTGCATTAAATTATGTTTTTGGAGGTTGAAAATGCCATAACTGGCATGAAAATAATGTCAAAAAGCAAAAACTAGTCCTAAAAGTAGACTTTTTTTTTCTTTAAGCATATGTGAATCTTATAAAATCTTGACAGGTTATGAGAAACCGTCTTGGACGTGCCTCCAAATATCCAGTTTGGAGTTTAAATTTGGCATTAACTCTGACTTTAACAGTAGTGTAGAGGACAATCTCACCCCTGTAGGGCTTTTTCCCCAAACGAGTCTCCTTTCCCCATAGAACGCAAATAGACGGGCTCCTGACCCGGACAGTCCTCTTGAGTCATCGTCACCTGGGCGAGGTGAGAACAAGAGGAAGAGATATTAGCATGGGATCATCTTCACAGCATCACTGCTTGCCCTTTGCACTGAAATAAACTTACCTTTCCTTTACTGATAATGAAGAATGTGTCTCCTCTTGCCCCCTGGCGAATGATGTAGTCGCCATCCTCATAGTGGGTCTACAGGAGAGAGAAAATTGAGGATTTGAAGATGATATGGAAACAGATGATGGAGAAAAATACAGGTGACACTTTCTACGAAGAGGGTATGAATAAAGGATGTGCAGACACAAGACCCAGCAGATTTCTAAATGGAAAAGAGGCAGCACAACATCTCTCTGACCCTCGGTGTGCTATCTAAGGCCTTGACCTCCAGACACATCAGTCTGAAATCAGATATGACCAGCAGATAGGAAACCGAAGCCCACAAAGACTGACACAAGCAAACACTTTGTTCCAACATCACCTAGAGTCTGACCTCCAACAAAACACCCACATACACACCTGCAGTGACAGGAGACACATTTTTCATTAATTATCCACAGAATGATCGTAAATTTAAAAAAAAGTAAAAAAAAAAAAAAAAAAAAACGTATAATTCAGAATAACAGATTCTACCATGATTTATACACTTAAAAATGAAAATGTAATCATATATTTTTACTTGCTTGCTTGAGACATTTTTAAAACTACATATGTATCAATACATTTTTGTTTGAATTTGTATTATTTGCAACAGATTTCACAATGACAGATTTTTGCTAAAAAAAAATTCTTAATGGTCCTAAAATTATATGTTTCTTTGTGAATGTAAAATTATATTTCTGTATTTTGATTTTTAATTAATAATATGAATAAAAGTAAAGGTTTTATAATAAAAATATCGATTGCTATGTATGATGTAATTTTGTAGACGTGTTTTAGATATCCAATAAAAATTTTTGAATATCATATCATAACATAACTAAACATCACATGTGCAAATAACATGCACATAACTTTTGAGAAGAAAGTGTCCAAACAATGTCTTGATTTTGAACAGTAAATCTATTATTTTCTCATTTAACATGTTTTTTTTTTTACACTTGAGTGTGCAAAAGTGTGTTTGTGCTGTCTTTATTTAAATAAATGCAACTTGGTTTGACGTGCATCCATTTTAAGTGTAGCTTAAGTGTAAAAATGCGTTTTAAGTACAGTTGTATCTAGACTGTTCAAGATGAGTGAATACTCCCCAATGGAAAGCACTCAAGTCGGTGTGAATATTCAGTAATGTTAAGATTCAGATATATCTGGACTCTAAATTCAGGCAGCTACAGTGTATGTGCAATTAATGGAGGAGCTGCATCAAATATAAGTGACCACAAAGATGATGACGGAAGGAAAAATTCCATCCATGTGTCCAGACTTTCATTCCCCAGAGCCTCCAATATAATTACACATGCAAAATTTACATTTAAGCTAAAAAAGCTTTTGCAAATTTCAGTCTCTTTTAAGGTCAATTATTAGCTGAAGAGACTCCCTTCCACTCTCTGCAAATTATATTCATTGAGAAATCATGATTGACAGGCGAGTTATTTTAATGACACAGAGCTCACAGTGCCATTAAATACTCTCTATTTTTACTTGCTTGCTTGTGAGACATTTTTAAAACTACATATGTATCAATACATTTTTGTTTGAATTTTTATTATTTGCAACAGATTTCACAATGACAGATTTTTGCTAAAAAAAAATTCTTAATGGTCCTAAAATTATATGTTTCTTTGTGAATGTAAAATTATATTTCTGTATTTTGATTTTTAATTAATAATATGAATAAAAGTAAAGGTTTTATAATAAAAATATCGATTGCTATGTATGATGTAATTTTGTAGACGTGTTTTAGATATCCAATAAAAATTTTTGAATATCATAACATAACTAAACATCACATGTGCAAATAACATGCACATAACTTTTGAGAAGAAAGTGTCCAAACAATGTCTTGATTTTGAACAGTAAATCTATTATTTTCTCATTTAACATGTTTTTTTTTTTACACTTGAGTGTGCAAAAGTGTGTTTGTGCTGTCTTTATTTAAATAAATGCAACTTGGTTTGACGTGCATCCATTTTAAGTGTAGCTTAAGTGTAAAAATGCGTTTTAAGTACAGTTGTATCTAGACTGTTCAAGATGAGTGAATACTCCCCAATGGAAAGCACTCAAGTCGGTGTGAATATTCAGTAATGTTAAGATTCAGATATATCTGGACTCTAAATTCAGGCAGCTACAGTGTATGTGCAATTAATGGAGGAGCTGCATCAAATATAAGTGACCACAAAGATGATGACGGAAGGAAAAATTCCATCCATGTGTCCAGACTTTCATTCCCCAGAGCCTCCAATATAATTACACATGCAAAATTTACATTTAAGCTAAAAAAGCTTTTGCAAATTTCAGTCTCTTTTAAGGTCAATTATTAGCTGAAGAGACTCCCTTCCACTCTCTGCAAATTATATTCATTGAGAAATCATGATTGACAGGCGAGTTATTTTAATGACACAGAGCTCACAGTGCCATTAAATACTCTCATTATTTGATCTTACTTCCTCACATTTGCTCTTCTGTTATTGTTAGTGAATATCACAGATTAACAACATGCCTGGTTAGCATGAACCAGCTAACCCCTGCTGGTAGATGCCATTACATTGCCAAAAAACATTGTTCGCCATTGAAAGCCATTTAAAAGTAGCTGTGTGTTTTGATGGAAATGAAAACAATAGCAAGCATCAGTGTTGTTATTGTTAACTAAAAGCTATTAAAATAATTTTTGGTACTCAAAATAAAGCTGAAATAAAATATTGGAGAACTTGGAAAGAGTTATAAATTAGAAATGTTGCCTTGACAAATAACTGAAACAAGTTTAATTTGATGTAGTAAAATGATCAAATATAAATGAATTAAAGTTAAATAGAAATATTAAAAAAACAAAACTAATACAAATTGTAAAATTAAAATGAACAAACAAAAAAAATCGAACCAAATTAAAAAATATTAATACTACAATAGTATATAAATAATACTAAAATTGGCAAGCAACATAAACAGTGAATATTTCATTATATTATAGTAGATCAAATGTACCAGAGACCAACATTATAATGTGTATGTCAGAAACGGAGCTGTATCCACTCAATCCACTTTGTTTATAATGCTGTCAGTGTTTCATGGTCGCTGTCTAAACCGTACAAATCTGATAGTGTCTGTATTAGACATATTAAACATAAATGTAATTAATAATAAAAGCCAAACCAATTTCTGTGTTGTTGTTGTGTTATTGTTATTATGAGGCTGTGAATCATGTTTTATCACAAAGGTCGAACCACAGCTACTGCAAGATTATCAACAAATCCACAAAGAATGGAAAACAACAACCTTTCACCCCTCAACACAGGGAGCTGTGGGTCTCCATCACTCACTCCCCAGTGATAATGTCGTATGCTGACGAGGTGAAGAGAGGTGATGTGGACCTCTGCGAATGATAGACTGACTGATGACTAAGATATTCACAATGTCTACGGCTCATCTTTTCATGCTATTCTTGGATAAAACATTGATTTTGCTCCTTTGATGCTTTGTGCAAAGTGGACCTCATATGTCGACTGTCTGAGAACCGGTTATTCTCCATCTTATTCAGGACGAGAGAGTACAAACAACTCTATGATTCACTCCACTACAACTTATTAAACCATGTGCATTCACTACAAGACAAGGTCTAAAAATGCTCCCAAATTATTGATGATATGAATGAGGAGCTTTTATAACTTGAGTTGTGAGTCTTTCTTGCTGATAAACAGTCGCTGATGGAATCTGCTGATTTATTTATTTTTTTTCACATTTCCAGGCTTAAAAGTGAATAAATCAACATATTTCAGCAGAAATGCATTCACATTTTCTTGGCAGGTGTTTTCTTAAAGTGAGTAATTTTTTCAGTGTTAAAATACTTTATCCCTGTTGTGTGCAAAGACAACAATAAGTGGCTCTGAGGTGTTTTTTGTAAAACATTGCTCTTGTTTGTTTGATGAGTTTTCTGAACGTCTTGCTCAACCAATGGCATGATTTTAGGGCGGGTTTTTCTCCCCAATTTGTCTCAACCAATAGGTCAAGGTTTTCCTAGTTAACGTGAGACAACTAGCCCCTGCTGATAAATGCCTTAAATACACCCTTCTGCTGACCAAAAGACATCTTTCACCATTTAAAAGCAGCTTTGTATTTTGACAGTAAGTTGTTACTGTAAACTAAAACTATTAAAAGTTGTTTTTGGTATTTGAAATTTTAAAACTTAAATGAAAATTTGAAATGTTGCCTTGGCAGCTAACTGAAATACATACTAAACAATTATTAAGCTGAAGTATAAAAAAAAAATTTTTTTTAAATTAAGCAAAAAGATAACACACAACAAAAAGAAATAACAATTAAAAATAATAAAAATGATAAAATCACAAATTTACTAAAACAAAAACGGACAATATAAAAATAAAAGCTAATTTAAATTTTAATTAATATTATAATAGTATATAAATAATACTAAAATATTTGTGAATATTGAATATTTCATTATATCAAAGTAGATATTTTACCAGTGACCAGCTTTTAACCTTTCACTGCCTGCTGCATGCTTGGGGTATTTCCGGGAATGAAACAACACACTTTTTTTTAGCAAAGCGACTTTCGAAGAAAGTATAATGACAGTGACTTTGCTAATATAAACAGACATGAAACCAGCTGTTGCTAAAAAAAAACAAGGTATTCAAAATATCATACAGCAGTACAATAATGCAACATGCTACATTTTGTTAATTTGAATAAACATAATGAGAAGGTTTGTGAATCAAAGTTGATCCAAAGTGCCAAATCTTAATAAATAAAACTTTTGAATCCTTTTATATTAGCTTATCTAACTAACAAAAATTACAAGTAAATAAGCTATAAGCTGGAGTGGTGCTTGTAAAGTCTGAATGCTGAGCAATCAGTGCACAAGGATATAAATGCTTAGATTTATTAACAGTTGTGTTTGCTTAAGGATCAGGAAGATCTCTAACCTCCTCAAGGACATCAGCCAGCTTGCTCAGTATTTGTTCTGGAAGACCCCGGAACGTCAGGACACTGTCAATGAGAGACAACTTACGTCATTACATTGTTAAAATGAAACAATCACATCTGTAAATGTGTGATGGATTAAATTCTTATCCAAAGCTGAAGAGTCTTTTGGTGTTTGTTCATGTTATGTAACTTCAGTGTTAAATCCTTCAAAATAACACAAGTATTTCATTATTATCCTCAGAAACTTTCAACACTTTTTAATTTCATTCCCACACTTTATGTAAGTCAGTGCTTATTCTCACTGTACACTGGGTGCATTTTTAGTCTGACTTGATATGGTTGAAACAGCTGGTCACCATCACACATAAAGGGACGGGCTGCGTCCATGTTTCACTGCCACGTGTCATGAGATGATCATACATCAATAGCTGCTCCTGCATAAATATTTCACATACCATAAAAAATTCAAGAGTCCATTAAAGTCTCCTATTACAGTTTAGTGTAAGACTGCAGCAGAGAAAAATAAAGGTATTATGGATACACACGGGCCATTCTGAGCTAATATTTGGTCTGAAAATGACAGGATCTTATTTTCTTTATCATTTAGTTTGAAAAGACTACTGATGAACTTTTAAGAAATCATATTTCCCCCCTGAGATTAAAAGTACCAGGCCTGTAACCATCATAGACAATGAGGTTAAAGTCTCCTATTACAGTTTAGTGTAAGACTGCAGCAGAGAAAAATAAAGGTATTATGGATACACACAGGCCATTCTGAGCTAATATTTGGTCTGAAAATGACAGGATCTTATTTTCTTTATCATTTAGTTTGAAAAGACTACTGATGAACTTTTAAGAAATCATATTTCCCCCCTGAGATTAAAAGTACCAGGCCTGTAACCATCATAGACAATGACGGACACATCCACCCAATATTCAACAATTGTGATTAAGCCTTGCAAAGTACCAACAGATATTACATTTTACAAATATATATTTTTTTACTTTATATATGTTATGTACTGTAATATAGATTGTTATAGTATTCACCCAGTAATAAAAGCACAGATTGGTATTTTAAAAAATATCTTTAGAACCCAAAACTTTTTTCTTTCAATTATGCTACATTTGTGCCAATCGTGTTAAATTTATAATGTTAAGGGGTTGAAGGTTAGTACAAAAATGGATAATAACAGCCTGCGCTGGCAAGTACCATCATTATTCTTGAACTTTGTATCAAGAACAAATTGTCAGTAAAAAACCTGATCGTATGAATTTGATTTTTCACCAGAGAAACTTAGTGCTGTTTGTGATCAAAAAAAGTTGGGGTCATTCACGTAAATATTATATCAGAGAGATCAAACCATTATTTTTAAAATAAACTACTGGAAAAAATGCAGACAAAAAAAAAGAAAAAAACATAAACCACAAAAAAGTAAAAAAAAAAAAAAAAAGAAGCGAATGCATTATTTTTTTTATTATTGTTTATTATTTATTATTATTAATGTATTATTATTATTATTATTATTATCACCATTATTAATGTTTTTTGTGATAAATCATAAGATAATCATAAACATATATGTATATGTATATATATATATATATATATGCACACACACAGAACATGTTTATTATTATTATTTAAATATTTTGCATTCAGAACTAAACAGATCAATATATAACAGATAAATCTTTAGTAGCCTATATCAGGAGTAAATCATGGGATCACACACGCATGCACATTGTTACATAAGAATGTTTCTCTCCAAGTCTGGACTAGCTCAGGACTAAATATGAAATCTAAATATTGGTCTATAAACCAGATCAGTAAAATGCACAAGTTCAACTCAGTGTCTAATGCATTCACATGCACTCTGCTTTTGTTTGTTAACGGCTGTTAGTTCAAAGCATAATTGACAAAATTAGGTCTAATTATTCAAATAATAAATATAGCAGCAGGGATGGGGTAATATCATTAAAGGGGTCATATGATGTGATTTCAAGTTTTCCTTTCTCTTTGGAGTGTTACAAGCTGATTGTGCATAGATAAGATCCCTGAAGTTGCAAAGACTAAAGTCTCAAAACCAAAGAGATATTCTTTATCAAAGTTAAGACTCTGCCACGCCCCCCTAAAACGGCTCGTTCTAACACGCCCCCACATATCTACCTCACTATGTGAAAATATTTGAATAATGCCGCCCAAACGTTCATGCAAAGAAAGAAGGCGTGGTTTCAGGAACAGCAGTTAGTGTTGAAGCAGCCATGTCAAGGAGACGCTGTGTGTTTCTAGGCGAAAGCAAAAGCACTATATTTGGCCTTCCGAAAGTAGATGCATTAAGATTACTTACAACAGAACAGCAATGCATTTTATGGACGACCGTTTCGTGAACCTAGGAGAGGAGGTAATTCTGACTTTGCTATGACAATCTGGCACTTCTGAATCAGCTACTGTAAGTATGTTTTGTTATTAGTTTAAGTATTTGCAATTGACTGTTCAAAT